CATATCCGGCCTCATCACGCTTCTGCACGTGACTGTCAGAAAAACTGCACTAACATTTGAAATAATTTAGAGGTCGGAGAGACCTTGCTGGAGCAAGGTAACTCCGTACATTTGGTCCCGTCGCAAAAAATTGACCCTCACAAAAAAGTGTCTACTTGTCAAGTTAGAGGTGTTTGGCATGGCAGGGACAATAAAAGCAAGCAAAATAATAACTCTCCCAGTTGGGATCGAACCAACAACCTTCTGATGACGTCAGCAATGATCAAGCATGACTAACAGTCAGACGCGCCACCGATTGCGCCATAGGAGACGTCTTAAGTTTTCCCTTGAAATGGTTTAGCACCCGCTTACTGAGGGTCCACTAACCTACGCCGCGTTGGTCACTCACTAATCACCTCTCTCTGCAACCACTGGGATGGCCGCCAGCCTAGGCGCTCTACGCTCTCTCAGGCAAAATATTGTGTCTAGTACACGTCCTCTGCTTCAAACATGTTCTAGTTGTCCCCTAGGTATATTTGCCCGCACTAGCCCGCCATTTCGAGCAGCACATCTGTCAACGTTACCTCGGTCGTGTAATGCCTCTACTCCAGCTACAAAATCACCCATTCTGACGCTTACTCGCGGCCTCAGAAGTGCCCTCGAACGAACCCCTGTGCGACGGATCTCTCGCCCGCTCCGACCCCCATTTGGAAACAGCAGTGGTGACGGCTTTGTTGCGCGATGGAGAAGGCGCATCGACAATACGAACCCAGATCTCATCTTCTATGCGATTATTGGGATCAATGGGACGGTCTTTCTTATGTGGGCTTGGGGACATGAGAACTTGGTATGTGTCGTCAAACCTTGCAGTATCACATCCTATTCATGATCCCTCGCAGCAAAAATTCAGAGATCCAGCGCCCCTCGTGTTCATGTACAAAAACTTTACTACGTCGCTGAAAAATGTTATGGATGGCAGGATGTGAGCACTAGACCGTAGCCAGACAATCTCACGCACCAATGATATCACTAATTAGATGGACTCTTTTGACCGCTTGCTTTTCGCATGAAGCTACTGGCCACCTGTTGGTAAACGGCATGTCGTTTTGGTGAGTATCAAGTTCCCGGTCAAGGATTGCAATTGACACTTTACAAGGTTTATGGCGCCTCCCGTAATGCGCATGCTGGGGAACTCAGCATTCCTTGCGCTTTACTTGGGAGGAGGAATTGCTGCCAGTGCATTTTCCCTCGCCTGGAACGCTGTAGTGTCACACCGATCCGTGAATGCTCATGGTGCTTCGGGAGCAATCTATAGGTACGTCTGCGCAGAGTGAAATTCGCTACTCTTCTAACAACGAGTACATAGCGTGATATCTCTATTTGCTTGCGTGTTCCCGCAGACCACCTTCTTGTTGTTCTTCGTTGTCCCCGTTCCAGCGTGGTTGTGTGTTAGTGGTATCTTCGCTTGGGATCTGTACGGAGCACTCCGACGCACCGGTGGTATGACTGACAGCGCAGGGCATATCGGCGGTGTGCTAGCAGGAATAGCCTTCTTCCTGAGGATGGGGGGACGTTTTGGTCGGTAGATGTTGGCTCGGCGACTATATAAAGTATATCGGAGCACACTCAGACTTTAATCCATTTGTGTACTGTAATATCTTTAACCCCAGCTCAGCAGAATTCATTCGATCCCAACTTAAAAATGTAGCTTGAAATGCATTATCAATGGCCCAGAGAAAGGTTCGGCAAGCTTTACTTGAGGCAGCATAATGGACAAGATATAAACCAACGCGAGATGGTCGAGCAAAAATAATGTGTAGACAGGGCTATATGCGCATCGCGTGGCTCACCAGGTGCTGCGGTAGAACACAATCGAACGTGGGCTGTGGGGCTGTGCGATTGCGCAGACAACAAGAATGATGAGCACAGTGACGTCGGCCGTGCTCCAACGGGTATATAAGGTTGGCCCCTGTCCTCGGTGCCGTTCCTCCCAACCACATCACCATGTTCCACAAACTACAAGCCAAGGTCTGAACGCCATTTCCGCTCGTACTGCAAGTCACTGACCTGTATGCAGGCTCAAGCAGCCCTCAGCTCTCGCCTATCGTCTGATAACGATGATCACGCCTCCGGGCACACCCAGTCTACAGCGCAGGGTCAGCAGGACCCGACTCAGCCGACCCAGCAATCGAGTGGGCGCCATCATGCTCTTGATAATATCTCGCACACACTGAAGACGCTCCAGGCTCAGTATTCGTGAGTATCGTTTGCTTATCTGGGTGAGATGTGCTCTTGACAGCAACGATCAACAGCCCACAAGTGCGCCCCGACGCTCGCCAACTACAGCTTGTCATTACCAGCCAAAAGGGCGTAGCGGTAGGTCTTCAGATCAAGGCAGATATCGCACGATCTCACCGTCGTTACTAGTTGGACTTTGATGCAGTCTCGCGTGATTCCAAGAGTCATTCCAAGGAGCTCTACCTCTGGGGCCAGGATCAGGTCGAGGACGTCAAGGATGGCAAGTGCATTTGTGCCTCCCAGATAATGCTCTAACCCAACCCTGCGATAGTCTCTGATCGGGTTGCCTACGTCAATTTTGTGCACGGCTCACTCGCCAGCGACTTGAGCAGCTCTCTCGATACGGCGCGCGCATCCTACAAGTCCCTTCGCGATGCCGAAACTACACTCCACCCTCGTCGCACGATTCGCTCCAATATGAAAGCCGAGATGGAACGCATCAAGGCTGCTGGATCTGTGGGTAAGGCCTCTGTCAACGGCGCTGAACGCGTGGCCGAGCTGCAGAGCCAGTTGGCCAAGGCCGAGGCCGATGATGCTCCTCAAGAACGCGAAGTTGCGCTACTGAAGCGTCGGGCGTTGATCGAGTGCGAGCGGAAAAAGTGGGCTGCATTTAAAGAGTACGGCGCAAAGCTTGCGCTACTCGCTGATGCATCCGAGGCGTTGCTTGCCGAACTTTCCGAGCAAGAGCCACAAGGTGCATATTCGGGTACTACGAACACCGCCCGGATTCGCTCGCAACTCCAGCATGCAATCGACTCCTACACGCCCGCGCAAGGCCACACGAACCAGTTCAAGAGCGCCCCAGCTGGCCCTGGTGTTGGAGCGAGTGCGGATACGCGTAGCTTTGGCGAGACCCACAAGGACGAGTTGGAAAGCTTGCCTCCGACTGCCCATCCTACGCCTCAGCCTGCTGCGTCCGGACCTGGAGCACTCGCCGAGCAGCGATTTGGGTCGCAGTCCGCCACTGGCGCGCCCTCGGACTCTGTGCCTGGACCGGAGTCTGCGACTCGTAGCAGCACGGCCGCTACAGCTGGTCATGCGGGCGCACCTACGGTCCCGCCTCTCAACCCAACGGCCCTGAACCACACACCTGCATCCATCCCTATCCATTCGCCAACTGTATCATCGCCGCTCCGCGATGCTTCCACACCCGATCAACCCGCTCACGTTCCTGCGACAGCCAATACGACCTCTCCCTCTGCTACCGCAGCTCCTGTGCCGGTCCCCTCTGCGCCCAGCGATTCGACAAGCCATATCACTGTCGCTGAAACTGGGGTGCCACTGACGGCTGGTGCCGGTGGACCGGGACCCAAGAGCGGAAGCCTAAGTCGCGATAACGGACCTACCGGCCCCACTACCGGTCCCAGTGTGGGGACTGTCCCTCCCGCGGGAACTACGCCCTCGGCAGGTACTGCGCCCCAGATGGGTACTATTCCTGGAACTGCTGAACCACTCCCAGGATTCCAGGGGTCGACGGGGCACGAGACTGCAGAGGAGGAGAAAGCTCGACTAGCCCGAGAGGAGCGCGAGCGCCTGCTGCATGGCTCCACTTCTAGTGGGGGTCACTTGTCTGCGGAGGAGGAGAAGGCGCGTCTCGAGAGGCAGGAGAGGGAGCGCATACTTCAAGGCCAACAGGCTCAAGGACAAGGCGAAGCTGGGGATGATGGGAAGGGTACTCTCCCTCCGTACGCCGACTTTTGAATGGCCAATGCTAAATGTCTTGATTGTGAATAGCTTATGCTGTAAATGAATCCCCGTTTGACTTCGGATCCTTATCGGTCGCGTGCCTAAGCTGAAACAAAATCATATAAAATAACCACGTTGTGTATTCAAAGCAGAAACGTAATAGACTCAACACGACTCGTACCAGTGTAAACGCTTAAATAATCCACTTCTTCCCCTTGGCCCCCTTCCTCTCGCTCTCCTTGTGGCTGGCAAACTCCACTTCGGTAGCCAGAGGACCACCGAGCCTCTGGGACTCTGCAAACCCAAGCACTTGTGTCTTGAAATGTTTTCCGATCGCTTCAATTCGCTGCTTCAGCTCGTCTTCGGTTTCTCCTAGGTTAGGGGTGCCGCTCGCCATTCCAGGGGCAAGGCGTGTCCAAATGGATATTCGGTAGAACTGGGGGCGAGAGGAGACAATGACGCCACTGATGAGGGAGGTGGGCGTTGGCGCTGTCGAATCTTTGTCTGCTTTGGAGAGGGCAGGATCAAACGTTTCGCCAATTGCAGCGAGCATCTGAAACGCAAAATGTTAAACGCGATAATAGTCGATATTCTTTGACATACAGTAAAGAGCCACATCTCGTCAATACGAGGGCGAGTCTTTTCTTTGGGGAGTTGCACACTCCATTTTCCGCCGTCCTTGTTGCTTGCGTCCTCCCACGCGGGCATGATATCGTCCTATAGGGCAGTGAATAAGCACCCGAACATGAGGCATGTACCAAAAATATCAATCTACTTTGAAGAGATAGTAGTTTGCCTTGGCAGGCAGTTTGGATGGCGACACAATATTGTTGTAAAGCCTGCGAAAGGGTTAACTCGGTCACTGGAGGGGCATAGGTGACGTACCCCCAGAACTCTTCGACAGAGTCGAACTTTATTAAACGCTTGATGTCGTCCATCCAACTAAGGGCTCCGGGAGTAGGTGGGACACCGCCTGGAGTGGGGGGTACGGATGTCGACGGTGTCTGAGGGAGGGTTTTGCCTTTGGTGTTAGGGGAATCGAACCAGAGAGTCCAGGGAGAGTACAGTGGGTGCTAAACGTGGACAATGTAAACCGCTAATCGCAAGTCGCGCGAACTGGCCTCACCTTGACATTGAAAGTCTGCGGATCCTGGAAGACGGTGCGCATTTCGTCAAGCTTGGCGGCATCAACAACGACCTCTTGACCCTCGTCAATCTCGCCAGGCTCTACCTCGGGCGAGTCAGCAATTGCAGCCTTGAGAGCAGCCTGGGAAGCAGCCTGGGCAGCAGGAGGGAGTGTGGAAGCCATGTTGGGCGACCAAACTAGGGACGAGAAATTTATAAAAC